GTTTTTTTAAAAAAAAAAAAAAAAAAAAAAAAAGTGCATTTATCAATAAAAAATGAAACAGAAAATTTTGTACAAAACTACACATAATTTGAGATACGAAAATTCTTAAACATAGAAAAACTACACCGCACTTACAATATACCAAATTTAAATTCAACAATCTGAAAACCTAAATTGCATGCTTTTGTTACCCTACCACAACCAATTAGTATTTCGTTGCTGGAGGTGAAAAAAAAATATTTAAATTGAATGCACTATCATGACAACTGCATACGATAAGTTTGTTAAATTTTATAATAATTATTTTAAAAATCATTTTCTTATTAGTTGATAATGTTTGGCAAGCTGAAATCACGTCTCACAAGGACATTAATCCTTGGTTGTCAATTTTGGAACACTGTGTGAATCATGTCTATGGAACAAAAAATGTACAAGAATTACATTAACAGGTATCATAAAATATTAATATTTCATTATGAGCTTGATTTTCATCTATTGTCAATATAAAGATTTTTACGTTGTCAAAAATAAATTATCCTGGATATCACTTTAAAAATGATTATTATAAAATTTAACAATTAACAAACATAATATACATGATGATGCATTTTTTATTTTCAGATGAACAAAGGTATCCCTAGCGAAAAAAAGAAAGACAAATACATTCTAACTCAGTTCTCATACTATTACTTTTAAGTTTTAACAATATATAAACATACTTTTTTTTATCCATGGGAATCAAAATAATGGCATCAAAATTCAAACTTAGAACCTTATGCATATTATCCCAATGTAACTGATAAGTCCTATATGTTAATTACAATAATTACACGTCTAAGGTGATTTTTATCAATATATCCAAACAATGTTCCTTACTTATTCCCAATATACTTTCAAAAAGAATTGATCATGTTTTAATCCTTCAAATTTGAGTTATACATTTTTCCCTAAAATTTAAAGCTTGTGTTTTTGTCCCTAAAATATAATATAATATATATATATATATATGTATATATATATTATTTGAGTCCCTCAAATTCAAAATTTATCTTTTTGGTCCCTTAATTTAACAGAATATAAATAAATATAAATATATATATATATATATTATTTTAATCCATCTGCTCAAATGTCATTAATTAATCTATCACGGAGAATTTTTTTATTAATGTCATTGTCAATGAAAACATCACATTAGAACAACTAATACTATAAAACTGTCTTAATTTATCATTGTCAATTATGTTATTACTGATACTACAAAATTATCTAAATATGTCACTGTCAACTATGTTATTACTAGTGCCAATTATGCTATTACTAATGTCATTATTCGTAAAAATATCAAACTAACTAATATTACAAAGTTATTTTAATTTATCACGGTCAATTATGCTATTCTATTGGTGAGAACGAGACACTAAAATAATATTTTTAAAATTACATAGACTAAAATGACAAGTTTTAAATTTGAGGGACGAAAATAATTAACATGGATGACTAAAATCATAATTAATCCTTTGCAAAAAGAAAAACCAAAATATTAATTTGATCCGCGAAAAAGTCCCAAACGCATTGGCAGAACAACCAAACCCAAACTGAACAACTGAAAACCCTAAACCGCAACCATTTTCCGTTACCTGCACGCGCGTAGCGCCGAATCATGATAGCGAAGGTCCCAACGGAAACCAAGCTCTCTCCTTCCCCTCCGTCGACGTGATCGAGCACGAGCTTCCAAGCGGAGTCAAACTCCCTGGCCTTGGCGAGCGCGTTGACCACGGCGTCGAACAGCTTCGGGCCGGGCTGGAACGCGGGCCGTGTCTGGGCCCAGAGGAAGAGCGAGTGCAGCAGCTTGGGGGACGAGCCGAAGCGGTCGAACACCGCGAGCAGGAGGGGCGGGTCCGGTTCGATTCCGGACCGGTCGAGTCGGGAGTGGAGGGGCGGACCGGGCGAGACGGAAGGGTCGGTGAAGAGGTTGGCGATGACGGATAAGGCGTCTGGGTTGGGAGAAGCAGGTTCGGACGTTGGGTTGGAGTTTGGTATGGGAAGTGAGGGCCACTGGATGATTGGGTTTCCAGGTTCGGAAAGCCATGAAGAAGAGAATTGACGGTGAGGGGAGGATCGGAGTGAAGGGTTTGGGTTAGGGTTCGGGTTGAGGATTAACGGCAATGAACGGAGAGTGAAGAGTATGTGACGAGGTTTGAGGGAGCGAGAGAGCATTGGGTTTCGAACTTGGAACCAAGGAGTGAACACTTACCAGTGAAGTATAGAAGTGGAAACAACACACGATAATAATGAGGGATGCTTCAATACGACGAAAATAAAATTTACTTCTTTCACTATTCTTCCACTGTTTGAGAATTTGAGATAGCTTCGATGGTTCTACCATATGTATTTTTAAAGTTATTGAATGCTTTTTTTTTTTTACCCAATATGAATAAATGTTTGAAATTTCATAAAAGGTATAACTTGAGAATTTATTAAAAATAGTCGATCACTAGGTTATTGAATTTAGAAGAAAGTCGATTCCTTCAAACCTATCCCTTTTTAAAAAAATTGATCATGATATTGTTAACTTTGTTATTTTAAAAAAAATATTAAAAAATCAATAATATCATTATTTGTGTTTTCAAAATTTAAAATCTGACTAATGTGTTAGTCTCCTCCTTACAGAACTGTTGGGATACAAATAAAATCAATTGCAATAAAATAAGTAGAAAAATAAAAATTTATAAAATACACACATACTCTAATGATTGAAAAACATTTTGGTGATAACCAAAAGTAAAATCATAGGACTTAAGTCTAAAGCGAACAATATCTCACTATTGTGAAGTTGTGTAAAATAACTTTATAAAAATAACAAAGTTATAACCCTCCCTTTATATAAATAAATCCCCTCAAATAAATCCTCAAAATCCAACAAAAACCTTAACCTATATGGTTAAAAAGGCCAAGAAAATCAACTTTGTAATTCCAAATTAACTTTGTAATTCCAAATTTCATAATCATTCAAGTCTTGTTGCACATGTTGTCCAATTTCAAGATCTAGAATAAAAAGTGCTTCCATGCGTTATGATACATTCGTTGTGTTTCACAAGATATCTAATTTTTTTCTAATTTTTTTATTCGTTAGCAAGAAGTATTCTCTCATTGAACACGAGAACTAATCCTTTTTGAAAATTTGATAGACATCGAGTAGGTAGATATCTCCTCCCAACTTGAGTTTTCTATATCTCCAAGATTTAGGATTTGATCCTTGACTATTTGATTATGTGACATGAATCCAATCGTAAGAACTATGATTTGATCCCTCGTCACTTGATTAAGCGACATGAATCTCTCACACTTAGTTATCTCAAGTTGGTACATAGGGATTCTATTTACATTTTCTGTCATGTTTTTGTAATTTTTTTTTTCTAAAAATACTCTTCTAAAAAATTATTTTTAGACTTTTGAGTGTTTGGATTATAGTTAGAAAATTAAGTTGAGTTAAACTTAACTTTCCAAACCAACTTTCAAATAAAAGTAACATAATTCCAGCTTTTACTTCAACATAAGTTTGATTGTAATTTACACTCAAGAGAAAGGAGAAAAAATTGTCAAACATATAGGTACAACGTTCGAAGCTAGCTAATTGAGGTTAGAAATTTTAACCATGTAACCAAACATAGCCTATAACATGACAAAGTGCAAGAAAACGCTTGAGAAAATGTTGAAGATACTAGACTTGTAGAAAACTAGTTTAATGGAGTTGGATAACCTTAGGATTTGTTTAAAGGTGGTATTATAGGAAAGAACATGTTAAAATCTTATACACTTATTTAATCTAACAATAGAAAATGAAAATTGAAGTTGTCCATAGTAAACCATTTAATATCGAGATACGGGCTAGCCATTGTCATGTTTGGAAGTAAAAATTTCAATTCATTCAAAAATTAAATCTTAAACTTATTTTCAAAAAAAAAAATTTAATAGTTCAAATTTCAACATTGCATCATTGCACAAACATACTTGTGAACAAAAAGCTGCATTGTGAATTGTCAAATAAAGCATCCACCACACATGCAAATTCATGCTCACACCCCAATCACCCATGAAAGAGGGTGGGCAAAATTTTGAGAACTTGCTTATAATCAAACTAACCATTCCAACACTCGTTTAGGAATTGTGACCCCCTAACTTTGTACCTTACTCATTGGTTGCTTATGTAAAGTATGACTCGGTTTGGCTGCATACAGTTTTCAACTTAAAAACCTAGAGGAGACTGTTGACCAAGCTCAAGATGAAGACTTAATTTTTGTTTATGTTTTGATGATTACAAAGAGTATCTCTCATGTTTAAGAGAGTGCACATTGAATTGATGTGTGTTTATGCTTTGTTAAGCATGTTTTCTTTGTGCTTTATGAGTAACTTAGCTATATATATCTTATTAAATGATGTTTGATGATGAAAAGTTTTTAAACTGATTTTAAACTTAAAAAATCAAGAATTTGAGTGTGTCACTCAAAATAATCGATTATCTACTTTAAATAACTAATTATTTACATTGTGTTTTCTCATTCTGAGAAACTCACTATAATAATCGATTGTTGCGGGTTGCACCAATTGTCCCGTGGCGGAGGCTAGGTGTAACGACCCACCGTAGGCCGTCACATCAAAACCAACTAAAATAAAATGATATATATTGCTTAATTTGTAATCCCAAGAAAAATGTAAGCTCTCCCATCATGGACATCTTAAATTCACCTTGCATAGTCTTAGCAAATTCTTCACATAGAGAGAGATTAGTAGAACCAAAAACAATGTCATCCACATAAACTTGAACATACATTGTATCTTTCTTAAATTTCTTCATAAACAATGTGTTGTTTAATTTACCTCTAACATAATCATTTTCAATTAAAAATTTGCTCAGTTTGTCATTCCATGATCTTGGTGCTTGTTTTAAACCATAGAGTGCCTTTTTACGTTTATACACATGATTTAGATACTTGTAATCAACAAACCCAGGTGGTTGTTCAACATAAAATTCTTCTTGAATGAAACCATTTAGAAAATTACTTTTTACATCCATTTGGTATAGCTTAAAGTTCATTATTGAAGCATAAGCAAGTAGTAATCTTATAGCTTCTATCCTAGCTACAGGGGCAAATGTCTCATCATAATGAAATCCCTCTTCTTGATTATACCCCTTGTCGCAACCCAAAAATTTTCGATCTTGCGACTAATGGTTTAGACATTCTTTTAAAAGTCTCATCAATTAAGGAATGCCCGGACACCAGACTAATCCTTAATTAATGGTTTTGAAAAATGAGTTCATGGAGTCGCCACCAATGTTTTACTCAAAACATTGGAAAAAGAAAAGGTTTTTAAGAATCCAATAATGGCCTTGATAACCAGAATTGGGTTCGGGGGTCGGTTACGTG